CTTTATTTATTATAGTCTAAAGAGATGGTAAATCAGAGTAATCCAGAGTTTGGGATGGAATGCCAGTTTTTTCTTTTTATAAGATTAGACAAATTATAATTATTTGCATACTATCTATATAATTAGAGAAATAAAACTTGTCTTTAACACTTTAATAATAACAAATATAACTATCTTGAGAACTTCAACAAATATAACATACACTAACCTAGCGATTAGCAATTTGACATAGCTTTTAATGAGAACAAGAATGTGATGGACATCACTTTCCAGTACATGATGCTTTGCTGTACAGCTTAAGCAAACATTGATAATCAACAGACCTGACCACTACTTTAGGAAGCTTACCCGAGAGTATCACAAAGCCTGTGTAGTTAGATTCCTGTGAAGTATACCATCTACAACTGGCGGCAGGACTTGCAGTGACAGGAGGGACCGCCTGTTTCCCCTCGTCATGGCCCTTTTGATGCGGCTCTCATTGCTGGTGGATGCTGCTGCTTCACCCATAGGCATCATCTCCCCCAAGCAAGCCGCACATCCCTCAGACCAATTTCCTACAACCTTTCCATCTCCCAAGAGCAGGTACTTGTCCTTCACAGACCACCTGAGGAAAATCCAATTCTACGTTGTCTACCACCATTATGCAATTTTCAAGCTTTAGCTAGTTACATGATCTCTATCTGTTCTGCAGCTTTTTGTAAGTGAACCATGCATCCTATTTTAAGGAAGAGAATTTTTATGCAATTGCTTTCCAAGTAAGAAAAAATGTAAGATACTGCTCTTCCAATTAGTCAAAAAAAAATCTGAATAACTTTTGAATCTAAAGCAATTGCTTTTGACCTTCAGTGAATTCTGTTGTGAAACAAATCCAAATACAGATTTCATAATATGCTGTTGTGAAAAAAGCAGATTTCCACTAGGCCAATAGTTAACATTATCATTTAATGCCATAAAGAAGGACAAACAATAACTAAGACAAGCATATGCATGTATACCTAAGCTTTCCTCTAAACTACTGAAGTAAATCCTACTGCCAGATACAAAGCATATTGACATGTGTTCATAATTGTGACTGCATGGTAATACATTCAATTCAGATGTGTGTTTTTGTGTGTATAAGGTGGTAATTTCCAACTTTAGAGAAGGTAGGAAACCTGTAAATGTCAAGGCAAAAAAAAAGTCAAGTTTTGGACAAATATATGTGCCAGTTAAAATGTGCAAACATGTAAAGAAAAGCATAAACTTTGCATGTTGTGTGCCTTTTATCAACACCATTTTACTCTATACATTCTATAGTCCCCATTATACTAGAAGTCCATAATCATCAAAATTTGTATTCCCATGATACAACATATTTCACCATGATTTCATAATCCAAGCAAATAACATGTATCAAGTATAAAATCAATTGCTGGCATTCACACACAAAAATGATGGAATTATTTGAAATGACAGAACAAATTCCCTGACATCAGATTATGGAAAGACCCACTTACCTGGAAAAGGCTTCAGCAACATAGGCTCCAGATGCTGAAGGTGACCGGTGCACCTCATCATAGGTGCTGAGAGGCAAGTCTTTGGGCTCCGCTATAGAGTGGATCGTTTTCTCCCTTTGACAATTTCACAATAACAATCCTACACACAGAGGAATGCAAGGCATGGGAATATTAGAATTCCATTTTCAAAAGATCTGGGCCAACACTTGTTTGTTAAGCTATGTTGATTTTAAAATAAAATGCCATTCAATATCAGAAAAAGAGTTTATGTAATTTCCTGCATGCTTCATTTACTGACGTGAAATCAATAAACTTCAATTCATTTCCTGCACAGGTTCCAAGGATATCTATCTGTATATGTCAGAAACTGAAGTCATTAACTGTCCTTCACTTACCTGTGACAGCAGATGGTTCCATTCCGCTCTGATGCCCTTGGAACTGGAAGTCTAAGAACAGTTCGTCCATCATGAGGATATTTCCACCAACTTATTCTTTCAGGTGTTGGTACCCAAACAGCATTGAACACACAGCATTCATGGAAGAACTGTAGCGATGTCTTGAGCCAGCATAAACCTGTGAGGAAAGATCATCATCCATATGAAATACTGAAGTCGCTGTCTTCTTTATTTCTATTTACTATAGCTGTGTCTCATAAGAAAAACAAGTGTTGGTCAATTAATTTCAATATCTTTAAACATTACATGAGAAGTTATAGTAACATCATTAACCTAAACAAAGTAAACTCTACCCTGTGCAAGAACGTTGTCAGTCTTTGAACTTACCTTGATGGTATAGTTTGTGTTTGGAGAGCATTGTAGAAAGTGTAATTCCTGAGTGACCCAGCAACATTCTGTCTATAGTCATTATTATAATATCTTCTCTGGCCATCCCCATTGATGTGTAAGATGCTTTTCTCCACAATTTCTATTTTATAATGGTCAATCACGCCATTGGGATTCTTTGGTGGTTGCCAGAGAATTTTGATGGTGCTGGGGACCTTATTTACACTATGCTCACATTCTAACAGAAGATCAGAAATCCTGTCTGGCACACCATTGAGGGTCATTCCAAACACAGGAGCTGAGAAATTTCCACAATCACGCTTTTCATCAGCAAAGACATCCATGCATGCTTTCACCTGGGGAAATGTGATAATGATACATGAAGATAGAAACACACAACTGAGAAGAAATAAAATACAAAATCAAAAGTTCATATATATATATATCAACAATCAATTACAATCCTTCTCCGGAATTATAGTAATTTCCTGCAGCTCATTGGGACCTTCCTGAAGTGTTAATAATTTGGTGAGTATCACGCAATATGTCTTGTATCTCTTGCTGCCAAGTGAAATTTTTAACTTCAAGCAAGAAGTTTTATGAATGAGAGGTCCCATGCTTTAGCCTTATTGGAAATGAGGATGTCTATGATGCATGTGGCAGCTGTCTTGAACATGTCAAGGCAGGCCATATATAATCTCTAATACACTGCAGCCTACTTTCTCCAAGGTACCACACTGAAGAGGACAGTGGGCTCCAGTAGACCTTGGAGAACATCATGAAAGATATACTTCAATAGCACTAAAGATGAAACCCCAGACTTTGTCCACAATCATAAGGCATCAGTTCCATTTTTTATGTTTGTTAATTGTTTCTCCCCTGCTACTGCTACTTAACTTTTATGCTCCAATGTTAAGAAACAATTTGACATTCATTTTCAGCCATGTAAAATTGAACTCTTTAAATAATAGAGTCCAAATCAGACCCTGACAAAAAACTGAAAGTTCAGGTTTAGCAATTGGGAAGGAATGGGCAGCTGAAGAATTGCAATTATTAGGAATTAACAGATAAATGGACATGACAAACCATGAATTGGTACTGAGTTGCTGGCTTTAACCCTGTAAACATGTGATCTGAGGCTGGAGCTGGCTTCATGGCCTGCTGAGCATCTCCTGTGTTGGGGTCTGTCAGTGATAGAAGGTAGTAACCAACGAACTCCTTCATCTCTTCATCAGGCTGGCTCCATCCTACCGTGAGGGAATCCACAGTGGTTCCCCTTGGTGATGCATTGGGGGTGAACTTGGGTTCTGAAAATAAATGATAAAAATCAATTACCATAATGGTAATTATGGCTAGTATGGTAACAGGGAAGGGGAGGGGAGAGAAGGGGGAGGGGAAGGGGGGGAAGGGGGAGGGGAGGGGAGGGGGTAGGGGAGGGGAGGGAGGGAGGGAAGGGGGAGGAAGGGGGAGGGGAGGGGGGGAGGGGAGGGGGAGGGAAGTGGGGAAGGGAAGGGGGGAGGGGAGGGGGGGGGAGGGAAGTGGGAAGGGAAGGGGGAGGGAGGGGAGGGGAGGGAGGGGAGGGAAGGGGAGGGGAGGGGGAAGGGGGGAGGGGAAGGGGAGGGGAGGGGGGGGAGGGGGGGGGAGGGGAGGGGAGGGAAGGGAGGGGAGGGAAGGGGAGGGAGGGGAGGGAGGGAGGGGGGAAAGGGGGGAGGAGGGGAGGGGAGGGGAGGGAGGGGGGAGGGAGGGAGGGGAGGGAAGGGGGAGGGGAGGAGGGAAGGGGGGAAGGAGAGGGAAGGGGGGGGGAGGGAGAGGAAGGGGGAGGGAGGGAAGGGGAAGGGGAGGGAGGGAAAGGGGAGGGGAGGGAGAGGGAGGAGAGGGGAGGGGAGGGGGAGGGGAGGGGGGGGAGGAAGGGAGGAGGGGAGGGAAGGGGGGAGGGAAGGAGGGAGGAGGGAGGGGGGAGGGGGAGAGAAAGGGAAAAGGGAAGGGAAAATAACAAAAAAAAATGTGTGCATATAACATTTATATACACACAACACACATGTAAAGCAAGCAAAACACAACACACACACACACACACACACACACACACACACACCACACACACACACACACACACAACACCACACACAACACCACACACACACACACACACACACACAAATGAACTTGGAACATGAATTTCCAAGAATAACTGTATCTGCCAATTTTTTTCCGTTTTTTATCTTCACATATCCACTTGCTGATGGGAGCGCCTATAGCTGTTATGTGAGGTATCACTCTAGCAAGCTAGCAGGTGGACTGCCTGTACACAGCACACAGCCTGTGTTAGACTGTTCCATAATAATTACATCACAAAAAAATTCTGGCCCCATCATGACAGAAATATATCATGGAATAAGATGTCCAAAGTGTTCAGTTTTCAAAGATAGAATTGTGATCTAAACCATAAATCTTGACCTCACCTTCAGTAAGAAGGGTCACAATCTCTTCTCTGCTCTCCGTTTCTCCTACTTCATTTGCAACCACAACTTTCAGGTGAATCTCCTCCCCTGGAGTACCAACATCTTCAAGAACTTTATTTGTAGACTCAGCAATTACTTCTGACTGTTCTTCAAAGTTGCTCTCTGCTCTGGCCACCTATTATAAAAATGAAGTATTAACATTTCTACAAAAATTAACATGTATAAATAAAATGTAGCAAATCTAAATATGTTATCAAATTTAAAAGGTCTATGGATAACAATATATTACTCCACACTTTAAAATTAATGAATGAACAATAAAAAAGTATAAATATATAGACATCTTTTATAGAAACAATCGTCTAAGCATGACATTATCACACTTACCAAGATTTTCATTTCATGAACAGGAGCATTATTTCTCCTTGACTGACCATTTGCTTGAATTTCTTTAGGGCCAACAGCACGCACCTTTGTCAGATTTACCTCTGGGGAATCTAGTAAAAGACAATACAGTTACAAAGGCTTGTATAACTTGATATGAATAAGACAACACATTTCCAAATCATAATTTAAAACATAATATATACTTTTCTAATGATTTCAATATAAAACATAATTAGAAAAAAAACAGCAATTAAAGTTACCTTGAACAAGCAGAACAGGTGTTCCACTCTGGTCACCATTACCAATGGTGTTTGAGGCTTTACACTCATATGTTCCATTATCTTTCAGTGTTACATTTTCTATCAGTAGATCTGAAAGGTGCAAATCTGATTCCTTGCTGGTTTCTACATTGTACCTGTAAAAAATGATAGTGATTTTAAATTGATAAATTCCCTCAATGCTAAGCTTGATCCTCATAACTTATCTGGCTAACCTTTTCTACAAATAATGGTAATAGCAATTTACAAGGATATTCTAGGTAAACTATAACCAAACAAAAAGGGCACACCCATACTTAATAACACAACTAAGAAAATGTTAAACTAAATACCCTTACCCCTTCTTTTGTCAAGCTGTTTCCTTATCCTTAATCCAAAAACACCTCAGGAGCAGGGAAGGCTTCAAAAGTACAAGAGAGCTTTGCCTTAAGCCCAGCTCTAACTGTGAAGTTCCTAGCTTCCTTCAGCACAGGAGGAGCTATACACAAACCAAAACAAAGACAATTAAGAAGACACAAAATCAAGTTAATTAGTTGGCATCCATTACAATGTGACTGCTAGCACAAATTTCAATATGTCTGCTAATAAAACTTTCAATAAAGATATCATAGCATTACTTACCCTGTACATGAATGGTAACATTTTTATCTGCAACTTTGTCTTTGTTGGTCTTATTTACACGGCAGTGATAACGCCCTGAGTCTCGGAGGGCAACACGGAAAATCGTTAGGGTACTCATGATGTTCTCCTTATCAGTTTCTGTTTTCACATGATATCGCACACCATCTTGCCTGAAGGAAGTATCACTATTAATACTGAATATAATCTTCAAATGGCTGCAAGAAAATTATGATAGCAAGTATGTCTTTTTTCTCATTTCTCTGGCAAGAGGCATGAGAACAGATTTGCTGGTTTCAAAACAAATTGAGAACACAAGGAGAAGGAAGAAGGAGAAGAAGGAGAAGGAGAAGGAGAAGGAGAAGGAGAAGAGAAGGAGAAGGAGAAGGAGAAGGAAAAGGAAAAGGAAAAGGAAAGAAAGGAAAAGGAAAAGGAAAGGAAAGGAAAGGAAAAGGAAAGGAAAAGGAAAAGGAGAAGGAGAAAAAAGAGAAGAAAAGAAAAAGAAGAAAAAGCAGAAAAAGAAAGAAAAGAAAAAAGAAGAAAAGAAAAGAAAAAGGAAAAAGGAAAAAAAAAAAAAAAGAGAAAAAAGAAAAAGAAAAAGAAGGAGACAGCTAGCCTGGCTACTGATGCTGGGATGCATACATGACATGTCCATTTTTTTTTAGCTTAGTCATTTCATTTACACACTTGTAGGTTTCACGAGAGTTCTTCACAAGGAATCAAAAACTAGCCTACCTAACCACCTGTTTATCCCTTTTTGATGATTTTAGGAATGATTTTAATTTTTTCCTTCTTACTTGCTATTGAATTATAACCAACATAAAAATCCTAAGGTCAGGTATTATCATTATCATTATTGTTATCATTATTATTATTATTCTCATTATTATAATTTCTATTATTACTATCATATAACAATAATAATAAACAACAAATAGATAATAGAATAATAATAATAATAATAATTTAATAATAATAATAATAATAATAATAATAATAACAACAACAATAACAATAATATTAACAATAACAATAACAATAATATTGACAATAACAATAACAATAACAATAATTAACAACACAACAACAACAACAACAACAACAACAACAAATAACAATAATAATAATAATAATAATAATAATAACAATAATAAAATAGTAACAATAATAGTAATTAATAATTTAATGATTATAAAAAATAACAATAATAATAATATAATAATAATAACATTAATAATAATAATAACATTAATAACAATAATAATATTTAATATTAATATATAATAATTAATATAATAATAATAATATTAATAATAATAATAATAATATCAATAAATAATTAACATTCATAATTAATATTAACATTCATATAATAATAATAAACATTCATTATATAATATTCATAATAATAATAATAATATTCATAACATAATAATAATATTCATAATAATAATAATATTCATAATAATAATAGTAA